TTTCCAGCACTTCTCGTCTCTTCTTTTCCCAGTCTTCTTTTCACCTTCTTTTCCTCTATAATCCTTTTCCAACTCTTTTATATATTTTATTAACTTTTTTCTCGAGTTCCTTATTCTTTCCTCATACTTTACTGCTCTTCTGATTGCTTTCATTTTGATTTCATTTATCTTTGTTTCTTCTACCAATATATATTATAATTAGGTGTTCTCCAATCCAGTTTTAGAATCCATTTCACGTACTTCCGTCTATTCTATTGTCGTCCTGCCAGCCCCACATCTCCGCTCCATACAGGGTTATACTCTCCACCAAAAAATTGAATATCTTCATTCTCATTTCGAAATTGACTTTGAATATTTTTTCTCCAATGCTCCATGTCCTCTTCATTGCCACTGTTGTCTTCTTTATCCTTTCTTTTATATGAAATTTATGTTTCTCAATCCCTCCGTTTTTCTGTAGTGTGTATCCTAGATACTTCTTTAACTTCTTCTATTTCCTCTTCTCTCCATTTCCACTCTTTCTTTTTTGTCCTACCTCTTCCTTTTTCAAATATCATTATTTTGACTTCTCCGGGCTCAGTTTCAGTCCTTTTTTTTGTATAAATCTCTCAAATCTCTTCAGCATCTCTCTCATATCAGCATCTCTCATATTCTCTATCAGTAGAATCACATCATCCGCATACATTATTGTCCAGCATTTCTCTTTTCCTATTACTACTCCTCCTGTCTGACCTTTTGCCATCTCTTCCTCCAAGTCTGACATATATATATTAAACAATGTCGGGCTTAGTGGATATCCTTGTCTAAGGCCTTTTTCAGTCCAAAACTCCTCCGACTTTCTATTACCTACTTTTACTATATTCCTTGTTTCTTTATACGTCTCCATAACTCGGTGTCTGAGATTATTCTCTATCTTCATTTTTCTCATCATTTCATTTAGCAGCTTCCTGTTCACATTATCGAATGCAGCTTTCAGATTCGCGAAAAATGCAAATACTATCTTTCCTCCTTTTTTGCTCAATTTCCTGTTAACCACGTAATTTACTATGTAGACTGCATCCATCATTCCTCTTCCTTTTCTAAATCCATATTGTTCTTCCTTCAGCTTTTCCTATCGATCACATAAATCAGATTCGTGGTTTTCCGCTATCTCGTCAACTTGCGATTTCTCAATAGCCTTTGTCACTAGTTTCCTTCTTTTCTCATGCTTTGCAATCTTTTGCTCAGTACATCTCGGATTCTCTCAGTACATCTCGGCCTTTCAGTTGTGATATTCGATTTCACTCCTATCCCTTGATCCGTCTGTGCTTAAAACTTGTTTGTCGGCATCTTGTTCCGTCTCATGCCCCAAACTTCTCTCTTCGTGTAAACGAATGTATTCTCGTAAACGCCTGATCTCCTGATTTTCTTCTAATCTTGGAATTTCGCTTCCGCTCAATGCATTTGCTATCGTTAAGGATACGTTTTCATCACTTCCGTTATCGCCTTGCATCGATACCGTCCTCCTAAGAACCGGTAAGTATTTGATCGGTCTCGTCGTTCTCTATTCTTCTTATCTTCAATATCTTCGCTGTCTTCTTCACTACTGTCTTTTACTTCAATTTATCGTTTCGCTTCAATCCGCTTCCGTCGTTCCATTCAACAGAGTCAACGTTGGCTCTCTTGCCCTCGTTCTCCTTATTTTGTCTCCCCTAGATCATTAGAATTTGTGGTTCATCTTCTATCATGATTTGCTTTTTTGGATCACGAAATTTGACCTCCCTGTGCGGCCTTAGTTGCCTAGAGTTGAATGCCCTTCTAGGTCTGCCACTTCATACATGTTTCGACGCATTACATTTGGTACGGTCCATTATAAACTAAATGGATTTTCCTGGTGGTTTTGCGATTCGTATGGGACATCCTTACACCATACTCGATCTCCCACATTATACTGTGGAGCTATCGACGTTTTGTCTTGAACTATCTCTTTCTCTTTTCAGCAGATTTTTTTCAAATTTTCTCGTGCTCCTTATCCTCTCTTGTCGATCCTGTCTCAGCCCTCGACGTAGTTAGTGCTTTGTTGATATTCATTTCCATCACTTCCTCGCTATGGAGTCTGGCGTAAATCTCGTGCTCGAATGCACCGTCGCATTCATGACATCTTCTAGTCGTGAGATAATTTGATCCATGTATTGTGCCTGTCGCTAGCATAGGTCTTGATCAATGGAGCTCTTCCAATTTCACGCATAACTCGCTCAACAGGATTGGATTGAGAGTTATATAGCGATGTCTTCACTATATTGAATCCACTTTCTCTCGCAAAGTCCTTCCATCTATCTGTGCAAAACTGTCCTCCGTTATCGGTCAGCACTGTCTGTGGTATTCCTCTCAGGGAAGTATTGATTCTACAATACCCCTATGATCGTCTCCAGCGTCTGGTTTTTCCTATTGGAAACATCTTTGTGTATTTAAATTGATTCATTATTACCAGCAAATATTGGAATCCTTTTCTCGATAATGGCCCAAATCCATCGACACTTTTACTCCCGGTACCTCCGGTAACTCATAGTACTATATGCTCAGTGGCTCGAATAGTACTTGGTTGCTAAACAAGTGTGACATGTGGTCACTATATTTCTCGCCATCTTCACGATTTTGCATCTAAAATAAAATAACTGTTCCATGAATGCCGTTATCTTATCAGTCCTAAAATGTAATAGAAGATGATGTGCCTGACGCATGATTCTCTACGTCACGGTTTTGGACAACGCTACCCTGTCTGCTTGATCCTCTTCATTCTTCACATAGTACAACCCGTCTTTCTCATAAATGATGTCGGGTCGTTCCCTCGCTGTTTCTTTCAACTCTTGGTCGACTTCTTGAGCTCTCCATATAATTTGTATCCATTCGTCGGTATTGATCCCGTATCTGTATTGATCTGTTGTATCTTGAATCAGCGCTATCCGTCTTGTCTGATCGTCTTGCTCGTATTCTTCCGCCATTGATCTGAACAATGTGTTGACTGCTCGTTGCTGCTCCCTTTGATACGTTTGATCTGTAGGTCGAATTCTTGTAGAAAAGCGAACCATTCGGGAATTGTTGCTCACGCAGGTCTCCAGAAATTGTAGCGCTCTGTGATCTGTATGCACCTTTACGTGTCGACCTAGTAACATCGTGTGCCATCTTTTCAACGTCCATACGATCGCTAAACATTCGAGTTTTGTGATCGAATAATTTAGTTCAGTACCTTTTAAACTTTGACTAGCGTATGCTATAATATATTGGCATTCATCTTCCTCCTTGTACTGATATAACTTTGCATCCAATCCATTCTTCGACGCATCTACGTATAGACCAAATTTGTATTCCGCTTGAGTCAGGTACAGATCCTCCGCCTGATCAAACGCTTATTTGATTTGCCCGAAAGCCCATCGCAGTCCATCTGAATTTCATTTCCTTCTTGAGCAGGCGCTCTAGTGCTTTAGCTGTGCCAGATTCTTGATAAAACGCCGATCCCAGTTCATCAATCTGAGAAAAGACTGAATTGCTTTTTTGCTCGTCGATTGGCTGAATTCATGGATCGTCGACTTCATCTGCTCGTTGCTCTAATCTCCGTAAACGTGTGTCCTAAGAAGATTATCTCCATTCGCATGAATTCGCAGCATGATACTCGTATCAGGCTGCTCCTCGTCCTGATGAAATGGACTGCAAGGTTCACGAAACGTTGGCAAGAATGGATCTAGACACGGAAGAAACCTGCGAAACGCATAATCTTTATGTAGAAAGCACCCTTTATATGAAAATCTCAAGAATATTACCCCTATTTTTCTCCATTACTGTGAATATTCACGCATAAGAGAAGGATGGAGATTCACCAATGTTTTGCATCTTTCATTCAGTTGATTTCACTTCTATCATAGGGGCATGTTGGGTCTATCTTATAAGTCTATGAAAGTAATTCTGGACAGCTTTGTATAAATTATTGATGTTAAAGATAATATCAAAATTAGGTTTTAAAAATGAAACTTTTATAACTAATATTTATCTTGAGAAGCAGCAATGTAGCAGAATAAGATGTGTGATATATTTTTAAATATAATAAAGTAATCTGTTCTTGTATTTCTTTATATGCAGTTTTTACAACAAATCCTATTTCATCTCATTTCTTTAAAGTTCAATTAGTCTCTTTTTTTATTTTTTATATCAAACTACTAATAGTGTAAAGAACGAAAATATAGATAAGGATAAGAAAATATTCTGATATAATTTTGATCAAATTTGTAAAATTTTAATAGAGTAATTTGATAAAAATTTTTATGTAATTCTTTTTAATATTTCCTTTCTTCTGCCTCATTAAATACAGGGTGGGCCATCTATTGGTACGTTTTTAAAAATGCGATCAAATGAGCATACATTGATATTTTTTATTAATTTTTTTGTTGTTGTGAAGCTAAAAATATCCGCGTCAAGAATGAAAAACGATTTCGTTCATGTGGCTCCCTCTACTGGCCTTACAGTATGCCATTCGGTCACCCCAATTATTAATGACATTTTGGACTACCTCGGCGCCAATTTCACTCAAAACAGTCGTAATATTGTTTTTCAAAGCTGGAATTGTCTCACACTTTGGGCCACAGCCTCAATATTCTCGGGTGTGCGCACTGTCCGAGCTCTGGGACCACTTCTGTCATCCACTAACATCCCTTTCTCACGAACTTTCCTCACCAATTTGCGTATAGCTCCTTCGGTGGGTGCTCTATCACGACCCATATTTCTTTTCAAAATTCGTACAGTTTCGGCGACACAGCACTGACTTTGAAAATAAGTTTTTAAAATTTCAAAACGCTCTTCAAGAGAAAACATGTTGTTTCGTGCCGCGGACGGTATGACTAATAAACTGTCAAAATTTCGGGTCTGTAGCTCGTTCGGTGTTGCCATACGACGAAATTCAAAAACGTACCAATAGATGGCCCACCCTGTATATTGTATGTATGCAAAAAAAGAAGAATAACTTGTATATAAAATGCTGGAAATAATTTTATTACTTTTTACAAAAAAGTACATACATATATTTTAATATATTGTTGTGCTCTTTGCTTCCGTGTTCCCATATATCGATGCAGAGTGATTCGTTAGTTAACATGCGAAGTGTGAAGAAAATCAATAAAAATGGAAAAAACGAAAGTCGATCCTTGGTGAGAATCGAGTTGATTTTCAGAATAATGTATCTATTTTATTTCGCGTATATGCTAGAATGTTGTGAAGCATGCTCATTTCTGAAAACGATTAATTGTCACGATAGATACAACATTTTGTATGTACATCAATAAATCTGATAGGTTTAAAGTTTAGAAATATGCTTCGATTGATAAGCAATCCCATTTGACAATAGATAATCAATTTCATTAGGTTGAAATTTTAATTCAGTTAAAACTTGTATAGTGTTTTCACCGACTTGTGGATTTCTTTGAACTCCAAGAGAAATTCCGGGCGTTCGAGATAAACGAGGCGCAGGATTTGGAAATAAATTGTTTCCTACAATCGTAAATGTCTGCCTCTGCTTATTGTGAATATGTAACATGACGTCTTTCAAATTTAGCACTGGTGTCACGCATGCATCAGTGCCGTCAAATATAGCGCACCACTCCGCTTGAGTCTTTGTCTTGAAAATTTCCGTGATTTTACGACGATTTTCTTCAAAATTTTTGTACTGTGGTATCTCGTCGCTTGAGAGACCAAGTTTTTCTAGAAAGATTTCATAAAACTGTGGTTCGATTGCTCCAACGCACATGAAAAGCTTATCCTTCGTCTCGTATGTATCGTAAAAGTGTGATCCTGTGTCAAGACTGAAAAAAACAATTTAAAAAAATTCTTTACAAAACAAAACAAAAATCATAAGTACTTATATATTCCAAAGAAGTACTTACAGATTTTTGCCACGTGGATTTTCCCATATACCCATTTTTTGAGATCTGAATAACCAGGACCCTAAATATGCTGATCCCTCTACCATTGATGCATCTATCACCTGTCCGACATTGCTCTTAGTTCGCTCATACAATGCCAAGATTATTCCAAAAGCGCACATCAAACCGCCGCCACCAAAATCAGCAGCCAGATTAATGGGTGGTATAGGTTTTTCATTATATCGACCAAATAAAGACAGTAATCCTATTATATGTATTAACAACTTATAGTATTAATAATTTATATATAGTCTCGTAAAATAACTAGGTCTTATTGATGAATAATATGTTACGATAAGGCAAACTAAAAAATAAAATGTATAAAATGCATTTGTTTTTGAACATAATTAATGAATACATAATCTAATGAATTATGTTATATAATGTTATATTATAATATTTTAACATATTACCAGATAAACCTAAATAATTTATATCATGACCAGCCATATTTGCAAAAGAGCCATTTTGACCATATCCAGTTAATCTAGCATATATCAATTTTTTATTTGTTGCCAGAAGTTCATTTGGTCCAATCTTCAATTTTTCCATGACTCCTTTTGAATATATATTTATGTATTAGGTGTTGGAATTAATTCGTAGCGTTTTACAAGTGATGGGAAGTACTTTCATTAATGTATTTTTTAATGCTCATGTGAAATAAATAACATTCTTTCATTCAAAAGCGCTACGAATTAATTCCAACACCTAATAAATTAAAAAATTTTGTTTCCGTGGTGAAAAAATTTCGCTAAAATTATTCCACGTTTTGGAACATTTTAGCGAAATTGCTAAAAATTTATTAAATTTAAAAATCGCTGACATTTTTCTGAAATACTGAAATTTTGCCGAAAAGTATTCCAAAACATGGAATAATTTCAAAAAAATTTTTCCACTAGGATAGTTATTTTTAATGCAGAAGATTAGATATTTTGTTGTTTAAAAGTTTGATTTTAAAGTACATTAAAATTTAATAATACCTGTATAATAATACTGTATAATATTATTCTATATACAGGATGTTTTATTTTAATTAATACACTAGATTATCTCGAAAAGGAGACGTAAGATTAAAAAAAATTTTAGACAAAAGTTATGACTTCGAGGGGGACACAAGATAATACCATGGGTTTGACCTTGGATGACATCAAGGTCACAGCAAGTCATACTTAGAGTTTTTTAAATAGAATCTCCCATATATCATTTTCATATTTCATTTTGCATATTTCGTAGCTTACCTCGAGAGTTTTTTAAAACATGATCAAGATTTATTAAGATCAAGATTATTGGAAGTTGTTCCTTTTATTTTCATTCTTGCACTAAAAATTCACTATTTCTATATAAAAATGAAAATAAGATATAGAACCTTTAATGAGTTTGATCTTGATAAATATTATCCATGATCTTGAACAACATTTAAGAGGTTTTAGCCGTTGAACACCTTGAATAATGCTAATGCTGGCGTTATTATAACTTTCGAGCCTTATATGACTCAAAAAGTACATAATGAAAAAATATTTTATTATAGTATTTGATAATCTCTCAAAATAAGCTACGAGAATATGCAATGAAGAATTTTGAGGAGTTCTATTTAAAAAATTCATAGAAATCTTTGATCTTGATTACATCACCTAAGGTCAAATCCATACACAGAGAAAAGATTAGCCAACACAGCTAAAATATAGCTGTGGCAACTAAAATGTTACTTTATAATAGAGACAGCTAATGTTGCTACTAAAACTCTTCTTATTATCTACTAAAATTTAGGCGCTGTAGCAAAAAATATTCGCTGCTAGAGTAAAATGTTCAGCTAAAGATATTAAGCTAATTTCTTTTTGAAACAGAAATTAATAATATTTACAGTAGGAATAAGAATCTTACATTACATTTGCTTCGCTGCTAGTGTTAAGTGATTTCAGCTATCAAATGTGATATAGGAGTTCTTCCTTTCATATTAGCTATTGCATTTAAAAATATATTGATACACGGAAAAATGTATTAACAATATTTATCACCAACAATCTATTCAAAAGTCTTGTTCATTCAATAACAGTATTAATGAAATAAATAACATTTTTTTTTAAACAAGCGAATGATAGCGAATTTGTTAATATTGTAAATTAACAAAATTATTTTCAATTAGATGCTGTCAATTTAACATTATTTTTCTTCTCTGTAGTATTGAAAGTCTATAATTCACATACATATTATATATTTCAATGCTATATTTCTAAACACTTTCAATAATTACCAGATCTACATTGCAAGAAGTGTGTCAAAATACTCACAAAATTGTATTTAAATATAAAGTACAAAATATTAATTCAAGAAAATGTATTTAAATACAAAATACTAAAAAAATTGTATTTAGATACAAAATACTAAAAAAATTGTATTTAAATTCATCGTCGTCGTCGTCGTCGTTGTCATCATCGTCGTCGTCGTCGTCGTCGTCATTAGACATGGTTTAGACTCAGCGTGGTAGTCAATTTTAAATCTTTATTCAAAAAAATAGAAAAGAATACATTTCAGTTCACTTTGGAATCATTTTCAGCATTACAATTTCAAAATATCAATCCCTTTATGTCCAAGAAAAAATCACCATCAGATTAACAGATTTGATGTTGTAATCACAAGACACAGAAGGAATTCATCTCGACTTTGGATCAAAACCAATTAAAATTTATAATCACTAAAGAGTATCAAGTTAGAAAATGCATGTTGATCGCAGCTCGAATGAAACATGACTCAAATTTTATCTTTGATTGTGAAAATTGCCAGCTCCTTCCTTATATCTTCATATTTGATTTTATCTAGTTTCGTACAATCTTTAACTGCTCTTAAGAACTTTTCTGGGGCTTGTATTCTATTTATATTCCTTCCTATTATCCAAGCTTTGCTTCCATATAGCAGCGTGGGAATTGCCATTTTTTTGTAGAGCCTTAATTGTATCTTTTCCGGTCTTGTTAATATTTTTCGGATGGTGTCGCATATTCTTTGGAATGAAGTCAATTTTTGATCTATGCCAGCTTTTTTTGATAGATCAGGTTGTATCCTAAGTATTTGAGAGAGAATAGGATTCAGACAATGAAAGAAAATTGACAACAATTTAATTACATACCCTACGTGCCTTTAATAGCAGAGAAATTCAAGAGATTTTTCCAAAATAATAGAGCGATTATTTGTTGGTATACAAAATTAATTGTCAAAATTGTGATGTTTCCTATATGGACCAAACGAAACGGTTATTGAAGACATACATATATATTAAAGAATCATATAAATAGCACACAGCAAAAAAACATCACACAACACTCTATAATAACAGAACATAGAATTGAGTATAATCATGATTTTGATTGGAATGACATCCAAATTTTAGACAAAAAACAGGGGTTACATAAAAGACTAATTTCAGATTCATATAAAAAAACAAAAAAAAATGGATTTAATATGCAAAATAATATATAATAGAATTGTTGGATTCGCTATATAATGATTTAATTTAAAGGAAATGGATATGTTTTTGTTTTTTAAATTATATATTTGTATAATCGATCTTATGTTGATATTCATTTCCATGTTTTATAAGTTATAAATTTATATCATCGAGTTTGCGTTGGTATTTATTCCGTTTAACTTTTATACTTATAAATATTGCGTAATGTGAAACGTCCCATCACACGCTCTTAAGACATTATAATTACATCGATTTATAACGGATCATCATTATGTTAAGTACAATGTAAGTTTTACCCATTTGATAGAATCAATTTTAATATTTTGACTACGATAAAAAATTCATAAATTTCATACACTAACTCGATTTTAGTTAAATGATTGAATTCTTGTTGGATATCCAGTTAAGTACAACAGACGATAATGAAGTTCTTAATTTTGGACAACAGCCTAGTGATGATTCATTGATACCATATTGTGTTACAACGCATTAATTTTGATTTTAATAAATAATTGTTACACTGAAGGTAATCTATGGTTGAAATGTTTATAATTGATGATTGACATATATATTATTTTTTACTATACACGTATAACTGTGTCGGCTCTCAGTGGCTTTACATTCCTTTATAGTTTTATTCTTACGTTCTCTCCATGTTTGTACCATATCGTCTGTATGTATATATTGAATAAGATCGGGGATCGGCCACACCCTTGTCTCACTCCTTAGTTAGTGAATATAACGTATTTGGGATCCTCCTTGTCAATATTTAAATTTACTCCATGTACATGTTCTTACCTTAAGTAGGTGTTTTGAGAAGCCTTTTCCTTCTAAGATATCCTATAGTTTCGATATGCAGACTTTGTCGAAAGCTTTCGTAATCTATGAATGCAATTTGTGTCTGTTTTGCTCTCTTCTTTTTTCTATAATTACAATAGCTTTAGAGTATCGCATCTATTGTTGATCGTCTTTTTCTGAAACCGCTTTGGTCTTCTCCCAATTTGACTTTCGCGATGGCTTGTATTCTACGTGCTATTATTTTCGAGTATATTTTGTAACATGAGTTTAGTAGGCTAATCCCTTTCTAATTATTGGGGATCAGTTTTCGTTCCTTTTTTGTATATAGAGACGACATTGGCGGTTTTCCACTCCTTGGGAGTATGTATATAATTGTCTCCGGCATATGAGAAGATATAAGATTCTCATTTATAACATTTAACCTCCGTATGTGATAAGTTCGGAATTTATATCGATGCCTGTTGCTTTCCTATTTTTAGTGGCTTAATGCGTCATTCGAGTTTTTCTAGCGTAATAGAGTTCATAATTCCGTTTCATAATTCATCGTCTCTTCTGCATATTGGAATCGAACATATGGGCTTCGAACCTAAGACCTATAGGGTGATAATCTAACACTTTAACGCTGAGCTATAATCGCATGCTTGTTTGGATACTTCAACATGTAATAATTATAGAAATATTTTTAGATTAAGTTATATAGGTTCTTATAAACATTATATCATGTTTATCATATACTTTAAGTCTTTTATATATATATACACACACACACACACCTTGTTTTTAATCTTAAATTTTAGATTACTTGTCTAATGTAGATTTTCTATATTTCTTTATCATTTTTATCATAGCTTTATTATCGTATTTAAACAATTTCTATCTTGCTACGATTTATTAAAAATTAATAATTAATAATATCCTATCGTGTTTTTGAATCATAAATTTCAAATTACTTATCTAAAATATTTGATGGATTTTCTATACTTCTGTATCATTTTTGTCAGCTCAGATCGTTTTCAGTCAATTTCTATCAAAATTAATAATATTTTTTCATATTTTTAGTTTGTAAATTGTAGAATTTTAAATTTAATCATAATTAAAATTTACAATTAAAGACATGATAGAATATAACTAATTTTGATAAACGACTAAAATAATTGATTAAAACCAACATATAAGTTGTATGACAAGAACAATACGGAAATAAAGGAAATATCGCGTACTTTAGACTATTAGAATAATTAATTGAATAATTAATTATTCAATGACCTAAATGCAATAAATAATTATATAACAACGGTA